TATTCGTAATTGCTCAAAACCAACTCTTCTCTCAATACTATTATAAATACTACTTGCAACTTGAAACAACTGCACCCGTAAAATTGCAACTCGCGTTTTTCTAACCACGTCTCAAAAATTGTGACAGTTCGATGCCCTTTCTAGACGTCTGCAGTAGTCTGGTAGTCTAACAGAGTCTGGCTCCGCAATTCTGGTCATTCGCATCGCCAGATAAAGTTTATTGTCACAGTAATCTTAGCCATTATCTACTAGAAGTTACGGGCAATAAATAAACAATGAATGTTTGTTTTACAGTCACTTGTGAGTCCATAGGTATAGAGAGTTTGTATTAGGACAATATTGACAGTTTGTAGCAGTATTTTAACAATCAAGTGTAAGAGAATCCATCTATGTTTAAGGCATTAGGTGCACCTCTTGAAATAGATTAACTCGTCGAGTACCGCCATTATAGACACAATTATAGAACAATAGGTTGCGGTCACCGCTGACCGCTTGGTGTTTGACAGTTAGATAATGGGAATTTACATAAAATAATGCAAATAAAACATTTATTTAAAGAGTGAAATTTGGTAGTATTATCGCTAAATGAAATCTCTTTGAACCAGAACCTGCATTGCACAATTCTTCAGTCCATTTTCTGTGGAGCTTCTAATCCTTACATCGATCTTAGCACTAAAAATCATCTTTTCCCAACTCAATTTCATATTCCCATCACCTTTCATGCTTCTTCCTTGTCACTTCGAGGGCCATTGACAAAGACAGAAAGACTTCAAGATGGCGATTGAGTGTTCGAGGATTAGACACTCAAATTCGAAGAACGTGTTTATTAAATATGAAAAATGTTGGGTAAGCTCGACACAATGGACAAAGTGTAATTAAGTTTGAATATTTTACGAAACAGCCATCATTTTGGCAGATTACCAAGAACCAAAGTGATTTATAACTTAGTTATATTAAGGACAGTTACATATAATGTTATATTGTAACAGTTACTATGTAACTGAAATATTTTGGTTAATTTAAATGGGTATTAAAACAAATAGAATTGGATTATAATTCTAATATATTGCTACCAAATATGTGTAGTGTAGCCAATAAGTTATTATAGAATATTGTGGATACAGTTTATTCCCGAGAAATATCCAAAGATGTGAACAAGTGAATTTATTTCTGCAAATAGGCTACAAGGCAGCACTTTTATACGTCAATTTTATCAAGCAAACGTTGGGGCCGACCTTTCCTAACAGACTACTCTGAGAAGGATTGCCGAAAAAACTAAAAAGTCCGTCTCTTTCTGCATGCAAGCAACTTTTTTTTCCAAGTCAGGTCATATCATTGAGTTCATGAATGTACAAAAATAATTCTTATATTACTCTAACCACAATCTAAGTTCTTCAGTTAAAAGTACAAAACATACATTAGAATAGCAATTAGCCATCTCTCAATCAACGATACTACAAAAAACAAACTAGTATTAAAAAAAAAATAACCAAACCATTATGGAAAATGGGAATAAGATTAATGCCATTCAGGGCACTTTGTTTTCAGTAGTTGATTTCAGATAGACTCTTTGTCATGTATAACGTAGATCTATTCATTTTAGCTCATCAAATATTCTCTGATGAATAATTATTAATAAGAATACATTTGCTTATGTAGACACTAGATATACATAAGTTTACGACTTTTAGTCCTCGATGGGGTCGGCAGAGGCGCGCTTTTACAATGCTTTTTTTTTAAACGAAAAATGTTTGGGATTGACATATTATAAGCTACGACGACGAATGACGATGACGACTAATCGGAAGCCAAGCCAATTCAGCCCCATACATACGTGGATTCTATGCCATTTGTCCAGTGACGTAAAAGTCCAGTAAAAGTATTTTCTGTTTGTGTAACCAATATAAAGTATGTATTTAGATTCAAAGGCACGTTTTAAATCTATTGCCATTACATTAAATCGATTACTGGTATAAAAATGTAAGTAGGTACTTACCTACCCCAGATTTTATTGAAGCGAATCACTTCAATAGAATTTCGTTCAAAATCAAACATAATGTCGTATGACCTCCTCACGGGTCAAACCTCTTATTGTGCCAAATTCTAAATAATAGGTACGTATTTTGATCGTTGATAAAATCAACTGCGAATCGATTTAGTTGTTAAGGGTGTCGCGAAGGGACGTTTAACCTGCTTTGTAAGTACGAATTACAATTTAGTGCAAATAAATGTGTACCTTTATGGGTTCTAAGGCCTAGGTAAAACAAATTTTAAAGAATCATAATCGCTGGCCAAATTCAGACTTATGAATCACAACTCCTATCTGTCAAAGGTGTGTTAACACAAATTTTTCGCTAGTACCTACTAACTAATCTAAAATATTTAAAAAATCTTTAGGTATATCTTTCACCCGGCCCAATTGTAGCCCTAGAAAAACAACAACCAAACGCAAGTCGAACGAGCGAATAGAAAACTCAATGTATGAAATTGACACTAACATTCGACAAATTCTGTCAATAACATATTATAATATAATATGTGTATATTATATATTTTTTTTCTTTATATTTGATGGGGCTACATTTGACCACTATCTCGCCTGGTGGTAAGCGATGATGTGGTCTACAATGGAGCACGTCGTCCTATAAGTAACCTATTCACTCGGGCCTTGAAAACTCCCAGTTTATACCCTTCAGGAAATACAGACTCTGGCAAAGAATTCCATTCTTTAGCAGTATATTTAATATAATATATACTCTTTATATTTAATACATTGACATTTTTAAACACATTCGACAGTCGTTAAATATCTGTCTAGTCGATTGTAAGCCATCGAATCACTAACACTATACCCAAAAGATAGTTATTTTGGAACAGACTATAAACACCACGGCCATACTAGTTATTGCTGAACTACAGTTTGGCAGCTGTGTAAACACATTATTTTGTCAGTTATAAAACCAGGGCATCCAGCCAGGCATCAATTCAGATTCGAGGCTACTAGAGAAATGCCTAAACATAGTAAATGTTTGATTATGGAAACTGCCCTTGGTTTGAAAATATTCAGTGAAATCCACTTTCAAAATTTGTACCTACCTAAGGTACACTTACATAATGCACTAAAAATAAATAAAGAACAAAAATATCACTACTATTATTACATTTCTAGTCTATATTTCTTATCTGTACAGCATTAATCAACATCTTTATTATAATTATAAGGGAAATGAAACCTTTTCTGCAGTCGAGGGTTGAAACGCGCTTAATCTCCTAAAATGTTAATTTAATTTAACAAGATAATGGACGCCGCGATTTCTCTTTCACTACAGGTAAGTAAATAGACTTATTTTAGGTTTGATGGCAGGTTTTGCTAATAGCATTATGTATCCCTGGTAATAAGACTCATTATTGTCATACACCGGACACAAAAACACTTCAGCTCAATAAATTATCTGATGAATTACACAGCTCATTGACATTTTCTTTTCAAAGGCTTTTCGTGTGACCTACATTTCTAGCATCATCTACAAAAAGGTTACAATCCATAATCTATGGCTCGAACCTTTTTTCGAACAAACTTTGGCCAGTACAATTTTAAAATTCGAATCTCGTCTGTGGTCTTGACATTGAACGCGCCATTTTCTTTATAATTATTAAAAAGTTCATCCGTAGTTGTAGTGTGCCTATTTAACGTGAAAATTAATAAAAAATCAGCGGATCAATGAAGTATCTAATGACTAAGTATATCATATTGGTAAGTTAATGCACTTTAAAAATTTTTATCGTGAAATCAAATTAATATTGATTGGTATTATGATATCGCAGCCACTAATTAAGTACCTACTAATCAACGATGAAGTAATGCTACTGCCGTAGTACGATTGTGTTATATGTCTAAATATTTATAGTTTATTGTTTGTTTAGAGTAGTTCAAACTGTAGATTATAGATACACTTTTGAATCCCATTATTGAAAACAACCGCGTTACTATATTCTTTTAAATAGGTATTTTATTTTGTTTCTCAAATAATAAAATAAATCTATACTAATCCAGAATTAAATAAGTTAATGGTTTTTCTAGTGAAATATTGTCGTCAAATCGTTGTTAAGATCCCGACTAAGCACGGTGTCAACAGATCGACGTGCTGGCGGCGTTCCCTGCAGACGCTTTGCTTAGTATTATCGAGTTTTCAAACAGACTTATAAGTAAAACATTGACATTGACTCTACTCTGCGACCCTTATAGCGTACCCCCAGGCATAGGCCCACAGTTACGTCGACCCGAACAATAAATGTAGAAAAGTTAATGCAAAATGAGTGTTATGTAAGGAGTGAGCCTAATTCTGGATAATTTTATACAACGTTTATTTACTTTAAATATTCATTCTAAACTCGCACCTATTATACCGTGCCGAGCGATATATTATTACTGTCTACGTAGCAGGTATAAATAAATCCATACTGTCTGGAGCTCACCTGTGCACAACACTTACGTCACAACAAGGATAGCGTTATATAATGACAGTTTTATCCTGACGACGGATTACCTACCGCCGCACGTTTTTGGCAATTATACAACATTCACGACCCCAAGCACTAACGCCGCAAAATAACACGAGAAAGCCAATTAGTCAACCGCACAGACAGCCATGACGGAGACCAAAACATTATCTCTACAGGAAAGTTAAGATTAAGTGAAAATAATGCCTTTTGAAATGAAGACGGGAGCCAGTGGCTACAATAAGAGGCGCCAATCAAATCGTTTCATAAAAGATTTAATAACTTATCGATTTTGAAACGGCGGTAGCGCATTTACGTAACATACTACGATAAAAACACAAATACATTGGGTACAGGAGCTACATATGAACCGACGTTCTGTGGCTCTAACGAGAATAGCTCGCGTCCCAATAACCGTATTGGCGATCATGTGTTTTCGAAGGTGGCCATGTTTTATGGTGTTGATAACGGCTATCGGCGTTACGAAGTGCGGTACCCACGTGAAGAGCGCGACAGCGGCTGTGCGAGCTGACGGCACCTTCGGTCAGTCCATGTGAAGGGTTCAGAACAGAAGAGTGTAGGTTATCACGGTTATTGATCGAGTGTCGCGGTAGGGCGCGAGGTGCGCGCGGGCGGCAGGCTGTGCCGCGACTGGGCGGGCGCCCGGCCGGCCGCCAGCCGCCCTGCCGCCCTGCGCGCCCCCGCCTCAGCTGCGCGGCTACGGTTTTATTTTGACCCGCAACCGTTGCCGAGGGGATGCTCGTGATAAGATGAAACGGCCACGTGAACATTGTCAATAAACTTCAACGCTCTATATGGATTTATTTCTATGTTTAGTTTTACGTAGTAGAGAATCGATTCAGTAATAAAGCATTAATGACTACTACGTAGTAGTACTGCTTGCTACTGCAGTACTTCATTGTCATTTAACAAGAAAAATTCATGACACATTAGTAGCACCGTGTTACGTATACAAAAACTATTCGCGTTCTTTACAAACGAGTAGTAACTCTGGTGATATTTTAGATTTATATAAATAGTCCTAGTTAAACACCAAAGTATATTATAATGTGTTTCTTATCTTTGTACATTATAATTATTTACAAAAGCAAAACAAAGCAATTTTTAAATTGCAGAAAAAAAAAACAAAAATTAAGTCAGAATGCCTCGCAAGAACGGAAGCCAATTGTTTTGTAATTTTCCGCATATAAAGGCGACATTTCGACAGCAAATAAAACAATGGGCACTAGGGCTGAATTAGTTAGTGATGTGATAGCGGTAGCTTAGATCAGAAGTAGACGCGAGCGCGGGCGCAACACACTGCACCTCCGCTGTTACGGACGTTATTTATGAATAATTAATCATGGCTGGTGTACTGTTTATTGTGAACGTTCCCAATAAGGAATATGAAAATTATTTAAAGAAGAACATCATTCCAAATTTAATATTCGAAAAAGAAAAGTACGAGAGGGCATCAAAAGTTATCCATGAATTAAAAGAAAAGCATTTAGGAACAAAATCAATAGAGTCGTTTGCACAGGATGATGACAATGCTGTCGTAATATCGAAGTGTCGATCAACTGATTGTTTGCATCAGAATATTAGAGCGGACTCTTTCGGATGTCCTAGTGAGAGTGGTATAGCTGAAGGAGATTTGGTGGATCGGAAGGGTTGTGTGAAGGCGTCTTGGGAGGAGTTGAAACAAGCGATAAAGCCGCGCAAGAACAAACTTACAATAACTAGGCCTACCCGGGGAGTTGACGTGCTCGCTGCATTTCACTGGGATACCCCACTTGAAACTGTAAGTAGGTACTTTGTTACCGACTTGATAACATGTGTTAGCCCCCACTTTCATTAAAGAAGAGACTGCACCTGCTCCTAAACGAAGCTTCTTAAAATTCTATTACGAGTATTACGAGTATTCCAAGAAAGTATTTAGATTGAATGAATTCTCAAAACTTCAGCATAGCTACATTTAAAGAATCAATAAAAAGGCAGAACAAGATAAGAACATTCATAAAACAACATCGACTTTATCATTCATACGAAAAGCTAATCAATTTTCTTTCATAAAATAAGGGAAATATGATACAGAGATTGTTCTCTTTTGACACACTTTTTTATATAATGAGGAAATTCAAGAAATCATCTGATACAGTAGAGGCGGTGCCAATTTTCAACGACCATGGATTCCAATATCATTGGTTTATCAATTTTGTACAGAGAAATGATACTAACTGAGTCGAGAAATGTGATCTACAATAACGAAGTATTTTTAGTGCTGGTTAAGTTAAAATCGTTTTATATTTACCATACATTGATAGAAGAGTTTTTGCTTATAAACTATTTATAAACATCTAGTCTTAAAAAATATAAAAAGAAATCAAATGAACCTATTACTGAGTACCTACTACATATAAAAATATATTCACAAATTCAGCTAGAATTTATTTATATAAACGCAAAGTGAAAATATTTTATATTTATATCGTTAGGTATATGTAACTGGGAATCGGGTTAACGACAGTAAATAACCTTTGACATGACATGGAAGCCCGAAAGCTCACGCTTAAATGTTATATAGGGCTCATGTTCAATTACGGTGTCGTTGAAAACAAACACCTACCCCCATTATAACCTGTATGAAAACTATTTAAAAAGTGGAAGACACATTTAAATACGTGTCATATGAAGGTTGCTAAACATTCTGATCATGATTTTCCTTAACATTTCATTTTGAATCCTCAAAGTAAAATTGAGTCGTCTGTCAGTAAAAAACATTGTTCTCTTCATTCCAAATGACTGAATTACCACTTTTTAAGATGAATCTTTTTCTTCTACCTATTATTTTACTTAAGCGATGGAAATAAGTAATGTGTTTTTGTTAAACCAATTATCACGTTTTCGGCTTACTCACGCAATTGTTTGACGAAGAACTCGACCAGTTTCAAACCATGTTAGTAGAGGCTCATATTCATGAGCAGCAAGCCACGACCCGCGACGCGGCAACAGTCGCGCTACTGCTGTGTTTATGTTAGTTGCCATGTCCTCCTCATGGTAGTCATTATTAGAATTGGGGACGGTTCAAAAGTTTCCTTTTTCATATTTTCCTATATCAGATCCCATGTCAACTTATCACACGCCATCTTTCTTTTCATAACTATCACTATTCGTAACATTTTCGTGTCGTTATCTTTTGTTGATTTTCCTCAACCTTGCCTTTCCTTGCCTTCGTCGCGTCAAGACGGATTTAAAACGAAACTATCAACTAAACGCTGTGTCTTTAACTTTTACATTTAGTTAGTCTTAATTAAATAGTTTCTCTATGAATCTATAAACGAGCAAATATTCATAGAAATTTCCATTAAGAACAAAAAATGTCGCGCTAAAAATACTTAGATGTTTGTTTGCCTACCTAACGAGTGCAATGACCTTGATAGGTAAATACGTCCATAAGTTAATTGTTATAAAAAGGCTATCTTCCATTTTGGGTACAGCCCCTAAACCTCTTAATTTTTTGTGCTAAAACTGTTTCTATAAATAATTTCGTTACAAAATAACATTTGCATGGACTGTTATTGAATAAAACCACAAAAAAGATGAAATAAAAAGATGCCCGGTCAATTATTCACATAAAAACAACGTTATGACGAAGTTTGCGGTTTATGATAAAAAACGTAAATTCCTGCATATTTAATATATTAGAAATGCTGCAAGAATATTACCTACGTTATTAACAAATTGATTATCCTCAAACTTGATCTATGATCTTCGTTGATTAAATGTAATATGACGTCGCCTCTTTTAATCTCAGAAGGTAGAGAGACGCACATATTACCTACAATGTAACTGCTTTTTTACCTTATAACTGGTATGTCCCATGTAATACATAATGTAATTGGGTGTGAATGGATGTCATCTTCCCATTACAATTTCCCGTGTACAATTTCGACCGCGTCTAAGGAGTTGTACCCGAAAGCCTTAACTCGGCACTCGAACAGCGAGACAATATCAAATTATTTTTAGGATTAAGTAAATTATATTTAAGATGTTAGTGAAAATTCTCTGACCTCGCTAAAGTCAAGGTTGTCTATGCACCTGGCATTGTAATGTTTCTTCCTAACTTCCTATTCCTATGAAAGATAGTGTGACGAACCATGTCGTCATTGACTGCAACTAAACGAATTTTTACCCCACATGGTGAAGGCAGGTAATAATCATCACAGCTATTCTTCCTGTGGACATCCAAAGAACCGACTGAGACACAATTCAGCAATGGCAATTCATGTCCTCTGTTGGTGATGATAATATCTAATGAAACATATCTGACAATTCTATAGTGCTACGTACCAAATCAATACATAGTATAAAACAAAGTCGCTTTCGCTGTATGTCCGTATGTATGCTTAGATCTTTAAAACTACGCAACGGATTTTGATGCGGTTTTTTTTAATAGATAGAGTGATTCTTAAGGAAGGTTTGTATGTATATTGCACCCGTGCGAAGCCGGGGCGGGTCGCTAGTAAACGATAAAATAGGTAACAAAAATGTATCCAAATACAAAATGTCATAGGATATTGTAACACTATGCTATTTAGTCGCTGTCTGTACTTAGTTGCCGGAAGAAATCAATTTGTTAATTTACCTTGTGGTAAATACAATAGGTTTCCTATAAAAACATGTTGAAATGTCTCCGTTCTGTCATTATTATGTTTCAAACAGTCAATGATTACGGCTATATTATTGTAGGTACATTGATCACATTTCCGAGCATTTAACTCATTACTATTGTTATTATTAGATAAACAATAGAACGTTTGGACAATAAAACGCTTTCATAATATTTTGAATGTCTTACTAGTGCAGTGCTACAACTTTCATTGAAGCAAATTTGGAATTATATGATAGTAACAACTGGTAAAAAACACGGTTTGGTTTGGCCCGCCTAAAAGGTATCCTTTTCTATGTGTGTATTTATGTAAAATTTGATAAAGCTAAAAGACAACAAAATTTTACGCAGGTAATATCAGTTGAGTTTAGCAATTTTGTGATATAAACCCACGATCAAGGCAGTCGGCATGTCAGCAATTAAAGTATTTGGGTAATTTTTAAATAAAAACACCAAAACAATACTGAATTCTTTATTGTGATAATGTTTTAAGGACATTATATGGCTAGAATTTTCTATTCGTCCTTCTTTCAGAGATACCTACATTATGTATAAAACCTCATTAATAAATACGTCAATGGAAAAAAAAATGCGTTCGCAGTAATGAAATAGGTATAGTCGTTGTTTATCGTTCGTAAAATGTTTTTCTTTTTCGATATTTATTGAACGTTTCGTTAATTTTATTGCTTAGCCGCTTGAGATTAAAAGAAAACAAGTGTTCGTGAATTAAATTGATGTTGCTTGAACATGATTTTGTTTGTTATTATTTTTACTTGTTGTTGTATGGGAATAAAATAATTTTCTTTATAATTTGCTTTTAGGTATAGGACATGGTTAGTTATTGGTTGAGCTTGCAGCTAGAATACCTATGATTTCATAAAAGATATATTACTTTTTTTAACCCAAACCGTGTCCAGTATAAGGCCAGAATAATTTCTGTCCATCGTTTATTATCAT